GAAAAAGAATTTCAGATCTCAAAGATGGTCTTTTCAAAAAACTCAGGCAGACAAAAAAAAAAAGGAAAAAATAATGAGGGAAATTTAAGAGAGATAGCAGACAACCTCAAGTGCTCTAACATCCAAATTGTTGGTACTCTAGAAGTGTTCTAGAAGTAGAGGAGAAAGGAAAAGGTATTGAAGACATATTCAAGGAAATAATAACAGAAAACTTCCTGGGTGTAAGGAGAGATGCAGACCTTCAGATCCAGGAAGCTGAAAGGTCCCCAAACAGACTCAATCAAAAAAGATCCTCCCCAGGACACATTATAGTCAAATTTGCAAAGCTCAAAGACGAAAAGAGAATTCTAAAAGCATCAAGGGAAAAGTGTCAAGTCACCTGTAAGGGAATCCCCATCAAACTAACAGCAGACTTCTCAAGTGAAACCCTACAGGCCAGAAGAAAGTGGGATGATATATTCGAAACACTAAAAGAAAAAAACTGCTAGCCCAGAATTCTTTACCCAGCAAGGCTGTCCTTCGTAAATGAGGGAGAAATAGTGTATTTTCCAGGCAAACAAAAATTGTGGGAGTTAAGCACCATGCAACCAGCCCTGAAAGAAATTCTCAAGGGAGTCCTGCATCTGGAATCTGAATAATGAATGTCACTATCACGGATACACAAGAAAGAGCAAAACCTGCTGTTGAAACTAAAATTGCCATGAGAAAGAGCAAGAAGCTAAATCATGCCACCTTAAATATCCAACTAATGTTGAAGAAGAGAAATAAAAAAGGAAGAAAGATCAAAAGATATTTAAAATATCTAAACTAAAAGCAATTATATGACAGGAATTAAACAATACCTCTCAGTAACCATCCTAAATGTGAGTTTATTAAACTCCCCATTCAAAAAGTACAGATTGACAGATTGGATTAAAAAGCTACACCCAAGTATATGCTGTCTCCAAGAGACCCATATAGACACACACACAGACTAAAAGCAAAGGAATAAAAAAGACATACCATGCAAATGAAAACCAAAAACGAGCAGGAGTATCTATTCCTATATCAGACAAAATAGATTTTAAACCAAAAAACATAAAAGGAAACAAAGAAGCCCACTACATAATGATAAAAGGATCTATCCAGCTAGAAGACATAGCAATCATAAACATATGGGCACCCAATCAGGAGCACCCAGATATAGATAGCAAACACTTTCAATCTAAAGGAAGAAATAGGCCCACATACCTGAACACCCCTCTCCCAATATGGGACAGACTTCCAGGCAACAAACCAACCAAATGACACAGGACTTAAACTACACGTTAGACCAACTGGAACTGGCAGATATATACAGAACATTTCACCCCAAAACTAAAGAATATACTTTCTTCTCATCAGCTCATGGAACATTCTCCAGGATAGACCACATATTAGGTCACAAACCTAGTCTCAGAAATTTTTTAAAAATTGACATCATTCCAAGTATCTTTCCAGACCACGGTGAACTAAAACTGGAAATCAATAGCAAGCAAAACTCTGGAAACTATACAGATACATGGAAACTAAATAATAGGCTCCTGAATGACTCATGGGTCCAAGAAGAAATTAAACAGGAAATCAAAAAATTTCTTGAAACTAATGAAAGTAAAGACATATCATACCCAAACCATGGGATACTGCAAAAGGAGTACTACAAGGCAAATTTATTGCAATAAATGTTTACATCAAAAGAATGGAAAGACTTCAAATAAATGACNGCAGGCAAGCCTTTTGGCTCACTTTTTAGTTCATTAATTGTTATTATTTATTTATTTATTTTTGCATTTTAAGGTTCGGGCTCAAATTGTGTCTCGTGGTGTGACCAGCCACTTCCAGATTCCAAACTGCTTTGACAAAGAATTTAAGTCTGACCTGGGAACCTGGCTCCTTTCTTCCTCCCCACTCTCAGGCCATGGAGATATTCATGGTGCCTTTGCATCAGATTGCCCCATGCCTCCCCTGGCCCCAAGGGGCACTCACTGTGTCACCACATCAGGGCACAAGTAAGCGAAGGGGTCACACAACCGGACCCAGCTTCTGCTGCATTGCTCCCAGAAATAATCTCCATTGTTCTCAAGAAGACACATTATAGTCTTATCCAGGTTCGTCATGATTAAGGATCTATGTCTACTGCCTACGACATGAGAATGGCAATTAGGGCTTTTCAGAGAATGCTCTAATGGTTTCATTATTCCTTCTTTGGAGATTTCATTGACTCTATTGAACTTCTCTATTGAGTATTAAAATAATAAATGTATCAATAGGTAAAGAATTTGTCTCTTCTGAGAAATACGGTCCTGTAGAAGAAATAGGTTCTGGGTAGTTAAAAGGCAAGTGATTTCTGAAGGCTTCCCGTACTGGGCCCTGGATTTATGTCAACATAAGGATATCCTGACAACTCATTCATTCTTCCAGCTAACAGGATTGGGAAAGCAGCCTTATCTCTTTGTGTAAAGTCAATAGGATGCCAGTAGCTTGCAAATATCTTTTAAACTTAGTTATCTTTCTCACATTATCAATCCCCTTTGAAGTTAAAGCCATTTACTTGGCTGCGTTTCCATTTCAGCGGCTGCTTACATTATTTGGTCATGGGGGGTATGGGGGCGGGGAGAGTTCTTATAGGATTTTAGGACCCAGATTTAGGATGGCCGATTTAACTTAAAATTTCAAGGAAATCTGTAACTTGGTTAATGTGTCATTAGTAGAGCCATTTAGACTGTGCTGAGGACAACACTGCTGCACATTGAGTGGCACTGATCAGGAATGCAGTTAATGGACTCCTTTAACAAAACCTTTTTAGAACTGTAGGTCTATGAATTAGAAATCCTTACTGCCATGAAAGTTACAGCTGTGACTTCTGGTTGGCAGTTTTATCTTATTATATATATTACACATTCTGGATGTTTCTAAAGTCCTCAAATTTAAAATTTAATAGTTTTGGAAGTATGTGGTAAATACCAAGTGAGAGCATAATTCATAGAGCTTACACAGGATGCAGTTTAGGCGTCTAGGTTTATTGACAAAATTTTATTAATTGCATTTATAATACTACTAATAAATCCAATCAGAAAAGATGGTTTTCAGGAGTGAACTGTTCTACTATTGAACTAGTATATGTAGCTTCGTCCTAGCTGGTTGTATATAAATTCTTCAGAGCACATCATGTATTGAATAAAATAAGAGAACAATAATAAATTAAGCAATTTTAAAGACTTTATGAACTGTTCCACTTATGGTGATTACAGTTCCTTCTAAAATGTGTAAACTCCAAGCTATTAGAATGCTCTGAAGTACAAGAACTTCAAAAATTCACTAGGTAAATGTGTGTAGGGCTTTTCTTAAGAACTCAGCAAAAAAAGGTCAATCTCTTATTACTTTTTATGAGAAAAAGGGACTTACGAAGCACAGCATGAGAAAGTGTTCATTTTCTCTCTTGCTTTTGTTTCAGAGGACGCTGCATCTAGTGTTTGCTCTGTTTAAATCCCTTGCATGTCCAGGGGCACAGCTCACAGACCTTATGGCCTCTTGGTCATTCTCATGTCCACTTCTGCCCCTCGGGTGCCTTTTCAGGCCAGACGCCTTACCTGTGCTGAGCAAGGGTCTTATCCACACTGTTTGCCTGGATCTCAGCGAATCCAGGAATGCTGCAGTTCAAATACAATCACTTTGACTTCATTTCCTGCCAGTATGCTCTAAATCAAAAGGGTTAGTTTTCAAAGAGTAAAGGTTGTATGCATCTATGTATATTTTTGCATAAGTAATTTCAAAGTCCTGATGCAGTTCATTGCAATGAGACCCACATGGAGACCCCTCTGCACAGCCTCAGCGTGCTGCTGACTGCAAAGACTTCCCTGGCTGCCTTCCTGTCCTGGCCCTGCCACCTTCCACAAAAGGCACTTGCTGACTTTTGCCAGGGACTCCAGGACACAGTCGGTTCACAAACACTGAACAGAAGCTTTGCTTTCTCATGGGTGAACATGATCCTCAGTTAGGCAGGTTTCTAGTTCAGGAGGCTGCCCTCTTGTTCTTTCTTCCCTTTTGCAGTCACTTCAGGTGTGACATGTGTGGTCAGTGACTAGCTGCTTTGTATGACCCTGTCACACAGATTCCATTCCCCTCTCCAGGAATGCATGAATCGCTGCTGCAATGCCACCACCTGCACCCTGAAGCCGGATGCCGTGTGCGCTCACGGGCTGTGCTGTGAGGACTGTCGGGTGAGTCTGTGGGCTCGGCCTGGACGCGGGGCACGCGGTGTGGTGGCACACTTTCCCATGCTCCCCACTGCAGGAGGGTCACTCCTTCTCATGCAGTGTGATACTATTCCCCTCTCAGTCTGTATTGTCGTCCCATCTTCAGGTGAAATGCATATTTTAATTGTAGATATCTGTGATAAATTATTTATGAATTGAAAACTAACGAGACCAAAAACTCTATCAGTATTAAGCGTTGCATTTGTTGCTACCAGATGCACGAGCAGTCCTGTTACTACAAAAACAAGGAGAATGACGTGAGGACAAGTCCCCACCCAGGTCATGTTGCCTCATGCCAGGTCCATCTGCTGGATCCCAAGAAGCCGTGTGGGTTGCCCAGGGGTTGTGTGTAAACACCTCGATCTTAATATCTGCCCCGCAAAAGGTGCCAGCCGACCTGGCCCAGCCAAGAGCGGCAGTTTCATACTTTTGCCATTTCTGCTGCTGTGACTGCATGTGTTTTGGCACTTCTGTTGTTTGTCCTGTTTTTCAGAGCAGATAACTGACAAGGCAGAAGCCTGAGCTTTTGATTCAAAGATTTCAAGGGTAGAGTTTTATTTTCTTTTAATTAAGCAATTGATTTTGGCATCCTGCTTACAGAAAACTCCCTCTTACCTGCCCCTCTCAAGCACAGAAATTTAAAAGTGCATGATAACATTTTACGTTCACCTCTAAAATGCCCTTCATCCCCTCCCTAATGGCGATTAATTTATGGGGAATGTTATAAGGAGCTGGCATTCCCTGGCACCCAGCAGCTGGCAGTGGAAGGTGCTGGAAGGGGGCGAGGGAAGATGGGAAGAAGGGTGGGCTTGTGATAAGGCGATGCCCAAAGTAGGTCACCAGGGAGGAAGGCGAGAAGAGATCATATGGCAATGCCTGGGTGTGACCTGCTTTTATTTTATGACTTTCAAACAATTCCTTTCAACTTCGACATTCCAGAAATTGGCAGGAATCTTGTCTCATTGCCTTTGAAAGGTATGCAGAGAGAGCCAAGCCCAGAACTTGGGGGTCCCTGGCTGAGTAGCCTCAGACAAGCCACTCTGAGCCTTAATTTCTTCAACCACTAAGAGCTGAGTGTGGGTCAAATAGTTTCTACCATCCCTTACTGCTCCCTTGTTTTTCTTCTCCTCCAAATCTCCCCATAAAGTGCTAAAGAGAAGCTTTCAGCTCTATGACTTGATGAGAAAGTAAAATCGCTATTGTGATCGTGCCCTTGGAATTATTCTGGTTAACTTGCCAACAAATGCTAGCACTGGAAGTGTGAATGGCATCTTAAGATGTGTATGCTGTTGGCAACCAGGATCTTTTTCTTACAGATCAACCCACCCAGCAGCCAACAGCCCCCACCCTCTTCTTCCTCTGAGGTGACAAGTGCCAGTGACCAGCTTGTCTGCTCATCAGAAAACCCTAATGTTGCATGAAATTAAAAAGAGGCTGCCTTGGTTGTTCTATTGCCCTTATAGTGGAACCCCAGACCCCAGAGTGAGACTGTTTATTTAATAAGCTCTCTCGGCTGTAAAAGGGACTTCATTTGAAATCCTCGCCCCTTTATGTGGGGCTATATTAAGATGGCTTTGCTCCACTCCACCCCAGGAGTGCCATTGAGAGCTGCTTCCCCCTCTCCTGTGATGCACTTGCTATAAAGCACCCTCTCCTTTCAGCTGAAGCCTGCAGGAACTGCGTGCAGAGGCTCCAGCAACTCCTGCGACCTCCCAGAGTTCTGCACAGGGGCCAGTCCTCACTGCCCAGCCAATGTGTACCTGCACGATGGGCACCCGTGTCAGGGGGTGGATGGCTACTGCTACAATGGCATCTGTCAGACCCACGAGCAACAGTGCATCACGCTCTGGGGACCAGGTATGTGGCTGCCACCACCTCGTACAGTGGGATTGAGGGAGCACATTCTGTTCACAGTAAGCCCTCGCTCCTGGAGGGTGCCATTCCAGTCGGGGGGGCCTGGCTACCCGGTAGGGGGTGGGGCCATGCTGGGTATGGAGCAGGCAAACATGGATGCTGCCTGGAGCCTGCCATTGAGGAGCCCAGTGCAGTCCAAGAGATGCATGAGCACCTACTGTATGCTCCATGGGGTGGGGGGGGGGCGGGGAGGGATGAATCTGCCGTGACTCCTGCCCTCAGATAGCTTAGCATGTTGTTGTACAGACAGACAGATGGACAGAACTTCCCACCACCACTTAGATTGTGGTAGTGCCTCTTTGTGCTCAAATGAGGACCCTGATCAAGGGTGAGGGTTCCAGAGAGAGCATCCCTGCAGCCAGAGGCGCTGGAGGGTCATATGGAAATGGCCCTGACTGGACTCAATGCATGAGTACGCCTGTGATTAGGAAGTGGCCAGCAAGCACATGGAAAGCACATGGCTGGGGGGTGCAGCTGGGTGCAGTCCTGGGCACCAGAGCTTGGAGCAGGATGTGGGGAAGATGCGTGAGGGCCTGGAATGACACTTGATTCTGAAAGCAGAGTGAGACTCTGTGCATGTTCCAGAAAAAGCACCCAGGTCAGAAGATGGCCTGGAAGTGGCTGCAAGAGGCCACCTATCCACCACTCCGGAGGGCCCTTGGCAGAGTGCTCTGCATGATTTGTCTTTTCTGACCCTCCCTCCAACAACCCCTGAGGGAGGGACAATGACTACAGTTTTACAGAAGGCAAAACTCCAACTCCAGGGCCGGAAGTGAGTTTCCCAAGGTCTTGAGGCTGGGATTTAAACCTGGGCCATTGTGACCTGGTGCTCATGTGGAACTACTGTAAGCACAGTCTCCCCAAAGAATGAGGTCCTGAGCTAAAGGTCCACCACAGCTCTAAGATTAAGTGAAAGTTCAGACACGAAAAGGGAAGAATCAGTGCCTCGGGCATGTCTCTCCTCCACTGCCCCATCTTCTGGGGTCAGAGATCCAGGGCCTCATGGGGCAGTGCAGAGCATGTGGCCCCATCACCCCAGAAACCACATGGGATTCACTGCCTGTCTCATAATGTTCACTTTCCCTCACTCCTCCTGCAGACTGCAGGGGTGACCCATCCCGGCCAGAGACCTCAGCTCTGGCAAGGCCACTGTGGTCAACTAGGCCCAGGCCGAGAGCCAAGCAAGCTCAGGCAGGAGCTCTAGGGGGAGGGAAATGGGGTCCAGACCTTTTCGCTTTCGTTGTGAGGTTTGGGTTTGGGAACAATGAGGGACGTCAGCTGCAGCAGACAGCGATGACTCCACATTGAGGCGTGGGTTCTAAGTGTGATGTGAAAGCACCGACCAGGCTCACAGGACAAGGATGTACGTTTGCTGCCATGGGGCCACTACCCCCGCTGGCCCAAGTTGCCCCTCTGGCCTCGGAGCTCTCTGGGTAGGACAAGAGCAGCCTGAAGGCAGCGACAAAGCCTGATGCAGCCTCCACGTCCAGGCCTGTGGGGAGCTCCCAGGGCCGCTGCAGGATTCCGAGTGGAATGAGGAGCCTGCGGGCCCCAGGCTCGCTGTGATTCGTCTGCAGACCCCGAGCAGCCCTCAGCCCTGGCCTCCTTGCCCACTGGGCCACAGGGTCCTCCAGGCCAGGGTGGGCCCTTGCTGCAATGACACACATAAAGTGGGCACCCACGGTACACGTGTCCAGTGGTTGGACTGGCTGGAAGTGGCTTAGCGTCTTCAGATACCTTTTAGCTGAGTGAGGTCACTTTGGGACAGTGGCTACTGCTCCAAGCCAGCTCTTCATGGCCTAAAGCATCCCTAGTGACCATCCCCTTCCCAACCCTTCTCCAGAGTCAGTAACTTCCCTTCTCGAGTTACAGGGCCATTAAAATGCTCCTTTCCAAGAAGCATTCTGTGGCCAGAGCACACACAGCCCTGGGAGCTTTCAGGGTGGAATGTGTTCATTAATGGCCTGCCGGATTATAACGTCAGACCCCACTTCCAAACCGAGTCAGATGGAGCTCCACAGATCTCTCCAAGCCACCACCACCGTGTTACTCAGCTGGCTGTGTGCCTTTGATTCATGGTGACCAAGGCTGGTATTTATTATCTCATCAGACTAGTCCTTCTCAAGCTGCCTGACCAGAGAGAGGTAAGAAGAGACAGGCAGACAGACTGACGCCCTGACCCACCGACTGAGCTTTTCAAGAGCAAGAGCCACAGGAAGTTCCCTGCTGATTCTCGTCCTCCTGGGGCTGCGTGGCCTTCCCACGGAGGGGCTTCCTGCGGGCTCCCAGCTCAGCTCTTCTCTCCCCTACCCAGCCGCTCCCTGCCAACCCGGGAGGCATTTGCCAGGGTGCTGGTGGGAGTCACCGCGAGGGCCATTGCACTTAGCACTAGGCAGCTGTGGCATCAGGACTGCTGGTGACAAGTGTGTTTTGAGGAAGAGGGCTCAGGGAGGCTGCTCAGAGTTCCTGGAAACCACAAGCACAGGGACCGGGTCTGGGGAGCCACCTCAGGCTTGTGACTCCCGGGGTTTCGTCTACCTCTGCCAGCCCCTTCTCACTACTTCAAATCAACAGAGACTGCAGAGGCCCTCAGGGCCAGCGGGCCTCACCCCAGGGCCTCCAGCCCTGCCCGCCCTTCCAGCTCCCCTCCCTCTGCACAGGCACAGCCGCCTCGTTCTCCACTGTAGGGCAGCGTATGAGTTTCCGGCAGCTGCTGTAACAAATTGCCACACGCTTAGTGGTTTGCAACAATACAGATTTATCATTTTACAGTTCTGGAGGTCAGAAATCCTAAAGTCAAGGTGTTGGCATGGCCATGTTGCTTTTAGAGGCTCTAGGGGAGAATCTGTTTTCTTGCCTTTCCAGGTTTCCTTGGGTCATGACCCTCTTTCTCGATCTTCAAGGCCAGCAGCACAGCATCCTCTAATCTCTGTCTCTCTCTGGCTTCGGCTCCTGTTGTCACATTTCCTTCTCTGCCTTCGCCCCTCTTGCCTCCCTCTTATAAGGACCTTTGTGATGACATTGGACCAACTGGATAATCCAGTATAATCTCCTCATCTCAAGATCCTTAATTTAGGGGCTGGCCCGTGGCTCACTTGGGAGTGCAGTGGTGCTAATAACACCAAAGTCAAGCACCAAGGTCAAGGGTTTGGATCCCCATACTGGCCAGCTGCCAAAAAAAAAAAAAAGAACTTAATCATATCTTCAAAGTCCCTTTTTCCATGTAAGCTAAGATATTCACAGGTTCCAGATTAGGATATGGACCTTTTTGTGGGGGCTGCAGACATTGAACAAACTACTTACTCGCAAGATGACCTTCAGCAAATTGCTCAGCCTTGTTGTGCCTCATCTGTTAAATGGGGATAGTAATCTACCTACGTTCTGGGTACAGGGTTATCCTGTCACATGGCCTATGATCTATTCTATGTAATATACATGCCAGATGCATAGCACCTTGCAAATCTAAAGTCTATAAATAATATGCAGCTGTGCTCACCGGAAGCTCATAGACTAATGAGCAAGCTACTCAGATCCTAAGGGCTTGTAAAGAGAGTGGTAAGAGGATCACGCATGAGATAGTGTGGGGTAGAAGAGAGCAGCCAACCAGGAGTCTTCATGGATGGGGTTGCCCTGGAGTAGCCATGTGCCCAGGGTGGAAGAGGAAGAGCATTCCCAGTGTACGGAATCATACAGATCGAGGCACGCAGGGACAGTGTGAACCAACCCAGGGACATGCAGGTAGTTCTATTTGTGTAGAGCGTGGGCTGCAATGTAGAGAGCAGAGATCCTCATCTGCCACCTCATCCTCTCATTTATTAAGTATTTGTTGATGTCCTGCTGTGTGTAAGATGCTGACACACTTCCCACAGTCCCTGCCTGGACCTGGAGTGGACTCAGGATGTGACTCCATCCCCATGTCCTCCTGGGAAGCATTAATCCTGGACAAAAGCAGTCCTGGGGGCAGAGGTAACTTCCTCGGCCAGGCCTCTGGCCAGCCAGATGCACGGGTTGAGAGCATTTGAATGCTTTGTTATAGCGGTTGGTTTGAATTAGTTTTTCATGATTCAGAAAAGAAAAAATGTCAAAGATGCATTTGCAGTATTTCGTTTCCCCACCCATTAGCAAATGCTCCAGGGTCTAGACCATGCTTGCACTGGGGTCATTATTGGGCTCCTGGGAAGCACAGTAACTCAGATCTCTAGGAGTCATCGAGATCTTGTTCTGCTGGCTCATGCCATTCTCACCAGTGACCTGGCCAACTTGTGGAGTCGTCCGGAACTCCCCAGTTACGTTCAGGATGTCTGCTACTCACGCTCCAGATCTGGCTACCCATCTGCTGGCCGGATGAAGCCCTTCCTTCCAACAACTATTCCCTTTTGAAATAGGCTCTTCACAATCCAGCATTATATTTCAATAAAATAACCCTGTTTCCAAATCTTTTTACAAATAAAACAATAGAAAATTCAAAACATATGCCTGCAACTCCTAACTGGCAAACTAATACACTTTCAGGATACCTTTTAGATTTTGGGGTTCATTTATTTGTTTTTCTAATTATTAGTATCGTTGGTGATAATCTTCATGTCGGCTGGGAGTTTGATTTTTTTTGCCTCCTCACTGATTTCCTCCCACAAATCTTGTGTCTCAAGACTTTATATGTTGATGTCAAACACATAAATGTTATCTGTAATTCAAACTGTGTAACTTGCCTTTAGCTCTCTCTCTGTCCGGTTTAGTCTTAATAACCACAACGATTTTCTGTCAATGTGACATGACCTTTATTCCTTCTGAAATACAGCCGGATATTTTCCTTTAGGCAGCAAATTTACTGTTGCCAATGTTGTTTGTCAGAATAACTGGCATGGTTACCAAAAACATCACTTGGCCATTAATCTTACAGATAACTACATGTCTAAAGCCACAAACCATTTGCATCAGGGAAG